TATATAAATCTATATAAAAATCTCTTTTAAAGATAAAAACCAGTTGGTTTAGTATTCTAAGCAACAATTCATGATGTTTCCAGATAGGGAAGGAAGTATCACAGCATTCTATCCCTGTAAGTGGGATCTGTGTGCAACCCCTGCCACAGAGGGTATAGATACTACACCTTCTGTGAAACTGAGGATACCACAAGTCTATTTCCCTGAAGCCTCAGTTTAATTCAAGATAAAGATGCTATTTACATGGTTTATATCTGCAAAACAAGACCAAGTGCTGCAGTGTTGACAAAATAAGAGCAGAAAATAAAGTATTTATAGCTTACTGATTTCTAGGGACTAGCATGAAGTATTTGGGAGGATCCTTTTAAATAAATGAATCAATTTCATTCCCTGTGGGGCTATTAAGTCAGAGTTTAGAGCAAAAAAAATTTACTAGAGACAGACAATTTACTGATAGTGCTTCTGGAGCAGGCACAGGATAAATATTTACTACTATTAGCAGCCTCTGATGTGTGTGGTCTGTGGAAGTGTGTGTGTACCTACATACAGCAGCAATTCCTGTCTGTCCCTAACAGACCAGGGATCTGCATTTACAGTCCCTGTATTGGTGTAGGATGAGGATCTGATCAACTGTGTATTGCTATGTATTTGATTTCAAAGTTTATTATGCTACACAGTAAATTCTTCTTCATTAAATGCTGGTTACAATGGTACCTCAGGGCAGTTAGCAGCAGTTGGCATGATGTAAATCTTTCACTTTGGGTTTCCAAATCATATCAAAACCAACAGAGATATTTTTCTGTAACTCTTTCCAGGCAAGTATTAACATTTGTACTATTTATTACTATTATGGGTCCACAATTTGCAAATGAAAAACTGTATCTCTGGTAAATGACTTTCCCAAGTGAATGTGATACAGCTGTGAATGAACCCACAGCTCTATGTCTTAGTGGTTATATCAGAATCCTCCTTATTTCATTACATTTTCTTGTGAAAATTTGATGTATGTGTCATGGTGCTAGCATGGCAATCACTCAGCCAGCGTGCAAAGCTAACCACAGAATTGCCAGTTACAATCTCTTCCCTCTCCTGGAAGAAACTTTTCCCTAGGAAGCAAAATGAGAAAGTTTTTAAAACACTAACTTCTAAGGATTTTTTTATTTTTTTTTACGGATTCCTAACAGATTCCTCTGTGCATGTTTTCAAAGTATTTACCTTGTTACAGAATATAACCTGCAAACTGCCTCATATGAGTAACATACTAGCATTGGTGATTTAGCCTGGAGAAGAGGAGGCTCAGGGGAGACCTTCTCACCCTCTGCAACTCCCTGACAGGAGGTTGGAGTCAGGTGGGGGTTGGTCTCTTCTCCCAGGCAACCAGCAGCAGGACAAGAGGGCACAGACTCAGGCTCTGCCAGGGGAGGGTTAGGTTGGATATCAGGAAGAGATTTTTTAGGGAGAGAGTGCTCAGGCATTGGAATGTGCTGCCCAGGGAGGTGGTGGATTCCCCATCCCTGGAGGTTTTCAAGCTGAGACTGGATGTGGCACTTAGTGCCATGGTCCACTAACCATGGTAGGGTTGGACTTGATGATCCTGGAGGTCTCTTCCAACCAGGTTGATTCTATGATAACTTTTTGCACTAATGTAAGGTACTATTGCCCTTCCTGAGCAGTGTGAGAACCTGGAGCGTGTGAGGTTGCTGTGTTCATCTAGGGGCCACATGCATGTGCCTTGCCTGTGCTCCTACAGTGCTGCAGAAGCAGCCACCAATGCAGACAACACAACTCCTGACTCGCCTGGGGTACTAAGCCAGAAAAATTCCCATGCTGACTTTCACAAGAGACCAGACAAGTGAAAATGAAAATGTTCTGTGTATTAAAGAGCTAAAACGTTAGCAGCGACTGATCAGCCCAAAGGCAGCTGAGATGTATACAGGAGCAAAAGAACTGAAGCAGGACAGGAAGGCACTGAAGGGAACAGCACCGGGAAGGGATTTCTCTGCGCTGTTCCCCGCGGAGCTGCCGGCGAGTGCTCTGTGCTGCCGGCACAGCTGCCTGCCGCTCCTTGGAGGAGTCACAGGATCACAGAATCACAGAATCAACCTGGTTGGAAGAGACCTCAAAGATCATCGAGTCCAACCCTACCATGGTCACTAGACCATGGCACTAAGTGCCACATCCAGTCTCAGCTTGAAAACCTCCAGGGATGGGGAATCCACCACCTCCCTGGGCAGCACATTCCAATGCCTGATCACTCTCTCCGTAAAAAATCTCTTCCTAATCTCCAACCTAACCCTCCCCTGGCAGAGCCTGAGTCTGTGCCCTCTTGTCCTGTTGCTCGATGCCTGCGAGAACCAAGGCAGAGCTGCTGCGGCTCCTTCCCCACTGCCAAACGAAACACACTCCTTGGACCACCAGCAAAGCATCAATTCCAACACGCCCTTGGCAAATTAGTGCTACCTCCCTTATCCGGAGAGCCTCTGGCATTGTTCAACTTTATTTAATAACAGTTATCCCAAGCTGCCTTGTTCTCTCTCTCACACACACACTCTTACACACCCAGAGGTGAGCCCCAGTCCGGGATCCCTCTCCGGGGCGTTCGGGAGAGATGGGGAAGTTTTCCCCGGCTGGTTCTCCCGCAGCATCCCGCACTCCCCCCGGGCTCACCTTCATGCTGGGGCTGCCTCCTCCGCCGCTGCTGCCGCTGGGAATGTCCTCCGAGTAGTGGCTTTTCCTGGGATAGTCTTACCAGGATCCTCCTGCCTGCTCCTGGCTGGGTGGGATCGAAAAATCTCCACCTCCGCCAAATCAGTAAAAGAAAGAGACGGACTGAAGAAGTCGGAGCGTCCCCTGTTTTCTGCCCCCTCCCCCTATTAAAACAAACCTCCAGCCCGAGCTGAGCCCCTGCCAGTGTTGAACACAAAGGCTGCCTCCCGGGCACGGGGAGCTCTGAGCTCCTTAACTCCTTCCTCGCTGAAACTGAGCACAACTACTTTACTGGACTCATCTAAACCACAGCCTTGGGAATCCACCACTGGAGCTGTGTCTGCTAATAGCTCACAGGGTTATCAGAAAGATTCTGTATCTGCTCCCACCAGAAGGCAGGGCAGGGGAAAAAAAAATCTCGTTATAAAATATGCTATATATAAAATATGCTTTGCATTTCCCCCCCCGGTTTGGCCAGGATTAGAATCTGAGACAATCAGTAAAACTCGATGTGTAAGAGTTTTGAAAAGGCAGGATCCGTGAATAGAGACTGTTCCTGGGTGAAAGTTTCTGCGATCCATCCAGTTCACACCTTGCTAATACCTCTTAGTTGCCTTTACGATGATAATGGGAGTGTGGCATTTTCTGTCCTTCCTATGTTTCCTATTACTGTTCTTCTTCAAGGTAATGGTGTGAAAAGATTTGTGCAGAAAATGAGAACTATCCACTTCTTTTTTTTTTCACAAGTTTTTTTTTCACACCGTTGCCTTCACAGCTAATTTTTTCTCAGGATGAAAAAAATGCTGTTGTATCAGAAGGAGCAACTTGTAGTGGAAAGAGTTTCAAAATCCCTTCATGCTGGCAAGTTGAAGGAATTGTGAGTCCTTTGTTGAATCATTTCAGGTTCTTCATTTCATGGCAAGTTTCCATCTGTAGAACAGAATTTATTTTCTAAACATATGTGGGCTTCTTTTGAATACAAAATGCACTCTTCCTAAATAAGATATAAAAATACATGGTCCTAAACCAGTAAAAGCAGACTGAAAAGAACAGTAGAAAATGTGGTGCTAGTGCCCTGCAGAATTCCAATATCTGGCACTACATGATGTAAGAATTAGTTTTTAACTTGATGAGTATTTCATAGTTAAAATTATGTTTCTGTAGTATGTTTAAAATCACCTGATAAATCTCAAACAGGAAAAACCAGTGTGTGGATCAACTGGAAAAACAATGCTTTATTACTTCTAGAATGTCATCTCTGTTAAATGAAGTGTCAGAGCACAAGATCTTTGAAGGAACATATGTGGTTCAGGCTGAGAATCACAAGGAGATTACGTTTCGCAAAATGGGTGGATAAGTTTAATTCAAAATCTCAAGTTGCCTTGAAGTAGAATAAATGCTGATAAGCCACTCAACTGTTCATACACTAGTAAAAGTAATTTTAAATTCATTACAGTTTGGTCATAGATGTGTAGCATTAATGATTTGCTTTGTCAAGGATAATCTATATGATGAGAAAGAGCTGGAAAGGGTGTACTTAAAGACCATGTGCACTTTAAGGAGTCCTTTAGCAAATGCAATTCTTAAATCTCTTGTATGTTCTCTAAACATTCTTGAGACTCAATTCCTTTCCTGGGATCATTTGACCTTTATGCCTAAACAACCGGAGTTAAAAAAATTTTTTATTTCTGATCTCATTCAAACACAATTTTTTATTCCAATTCATAGTTCCATTAATTTGGAAGGTTTTCCACATCTATTCAGACACTGCTATGCGTAACTGTATTTGCTCTTAAGTGAAATAACCAATTTTGCTAATGCTGTTAAAGATCTATTTCAAAATATGAAGAGACCTCTTACTACCATTGTGAATGTTTCTATTATTGCCAACCCACAGAAGTAGTATTAGACATTACAGAATTGCTCAGTTCTGTGATCTTTGCTATTATTATGCTTGTTTATTTTTTAATCACCTCTTTGTTCTGTCTTTAATCTTTTAGGTGTCTGAAATGGAGTTGAATTTTTTTCTTAAACTGAGTTGAATTCAAGAATTGTATTTAACTTGTTCTTGCAAAGGGTTTTTCCTGTGTTCAGGAAAGCAACATGGAAAAGGAACTTTTAAGGGTGGTGAGACACTGTCCCAGGTTGCCCAGGGAGGCTGTGGCTGCCCCAACCCTGGCAGTGTTCAAGACCAGGCTGGATGAGCCTTGAGCAACCTGATCTAGTGGGAGATGTCCTTTCTCAGGGCAGGAGATTGGGACTGGATGATCTCTGAGGCCCATTCCAACCCCTAAAATTCTATGATTCTGTGATATATGTTGTGCAAAAACTGCATTTGCAAATGTAGCTGTCCTGAGCTATGAGAAAACTGATAAAATACAATTCTTTACACCAAGATGTTTTCAGCTATCAGAGACACTTTCACCAGCACTGTAGAACTGCTGCCCTGTCCCTGCATTCTTTTGTGCAAAAGTTCTCAACCCAAGACTCTCTTCCAGGTTCAGCTTAGTGAAAGTGTTTCCTTTGACCTCTTCTGTTTTGCGTCTTCAACAAACCACTTAGTTTGTCTTGTGTAAATTCAGGGATTCAGTGTAAGGGTAACATATTAATCTCATTGCAAAATTACCCATTATAGTTCAGTTTTAAGAGTACCTGAGTTTTGCAGCTGGAATCAAGAAGACTATCAGCACATCATAAAGCTGTTAATTTTCCTGAAGCTTTCAGGTATTAGGAATATTTTAGTGCTAGAGTTACTGGCGTAATGAAACTAAAGCTGCAGAGCCTTTTACACAACGACCTCAGAGGCAATAACTGAGAACCTTTAGTTATGTTCTGGAGGGGTTATTTGATTGAAATGGATGTTTGGTGAATGTAGTACCTGTTAAGCCATTTACCCCCACAGATTTGGCATGAAGTAGGAACATACGTTCATCAGCTCATGGAGTCCTAAATTGCATTCCTGAGATTCAAAAGATCAAAATCAAAAGAAGACATTGTCTACAATTGGCATTTTTGTAAGCAGTCAGTTGGTGATCATCTGCAGCATTTTCAGAAAATCAGAAGTTAATCATGACAAAGGCTGCAAATAACTAATTATTCTGCTTTTTTCACTGGATATTCAATATAGTTTTTTATCAGAAACAATACAAAGAGCAATAAAATCAATACACACTATGATGTTAGGACCTACTTGGATAATCTGGCAAAAAATTCACCAGGATACTCTGGTTACAAGACTTGATAACTGTTTCACTTTTAATTCAATATCTACATCTAGCGAATAAGAACTCAAAGTGCAAAACTTCTCATAGAAACATGTTTCAAAAACGTTTGGGGGGCAAGTTTATCAAATTTTTACTCCCCCTGCTTCAGTCAGAAGTTGCACCTCATTGAACAAAAAGAAGAATCATCCAAACCATAGACAGTATTTCCATCTTGTGTAGATTATCTGTTCTTCAATGAGAGATGCAACCTATGCAGCTCTTTAGAATGATTCCGTTAGAAAGGACAACTCCCAGAAAATGTAAATGCATTGGGACTCAGGGCCCATTATTTCCATAGATCATTGAACCAGTTATTTCCTTCTGTCATGTAACATTTCTGTTTCCCAATAGCTGCTTTATTTAAATTGTGTCTCTACTAATGGCATATCTATAACTCTCTTTATGTGCTTATCACAAAGAAATCTCTTTGTGGCAAGGTTATCTTGCTCTTCCCTCCCTCCTTCTTTCTCTTTTCCTTCCTCCAACTCTCTGTTCTACCTTTCTCTGTCTCTCATTTCTGTTTCCTTCATGTGATGAGAAATTTTTGACCATTTATGATATGAAATTATAATTCAAATGTAATTATAGTGAAGAATATTGTGTGATGTTAATTTAAATACTCTTCCACGTCAGAGATAGCAAAGTGATTGAGAGCATTTGAGGACCTTCAGCTGTTCTAATTTTTCATCCCTTTGTTTTAGGCAACTAGCTGTGAGCTAAGGGAGTTTAAGGAACTTGCTCCAAAAAGACCAATGTTTAATGGCAACAGGTAAACATATGTTTACATAAAACCCTAAATATGCACTAAAATTATCCATAAAGAACAATGAAATAGCAATTTGTGACAGAAGATGCCTCTGACATAATCATGCAAGGTGTGAAATTATGCAATGAGTGGTTAAAAGAATACTAAAGAATAAAAAGGGAGGAAGGAAGAACAGATATGAAGCCAAATTAAAAAAGTGACTTAAAGAACACCAAGAGGAAGAGAATATATTAGATCAGAAAATCTTCCATAACTTACGAAAGTAAGTTTCAATCTGCATTGTGCAGAGCACACGTTCTGCAGTAGAGGAATGCAGTTCAGCTGCCAGATGTGTCTTTTATTGTCTTAAGCACTAATAAAATTATTCAGATAAGATAGTGAGATTCTAGAATGCCATTTTATCCTAAACTAAATAAGGTTAAAATTATTTCTATTGGCCACTCTGCAGTGAAGCTGTTTTTTTTTCATGGAAAACCCTGACGCATCTCATTTCTAATGTTTTGAAGTTGTCTAATTTTTTGTTAGGCTAACTAAAGCTGACTTGAAATAAGCTGCTTGTACATTTACTTCTATACAGTAAAGTCCTGTTCTTATATTATGCAGTATTAAATGTTAGCATCTACTGTTCCATATATTATCTCCCTGTAAGTGATATGTGTAGGCCAATTTACAGACTTATATCATTAAGTTAACAGAGTCATAATATTTTGGGTGTTTTCTATAGAAATATCATAGATTGGCTCAACAGAATTCAGTATCACATTCACTTACAATGAAAGTGTCATGGGACCCATTTTATCATTGGGAAATGTTCTATGTCTCTTGAAGTTAGACAGTTAGACAGAGCTACAAACTTCTGCAATGCAATTTTAAGATAAGTACTTTGCAAATGATCAAGATTTCTGGAAAAGCTTTACCATTCCTTTCTAATTGGAAACCAGAGCACACATTTGTAACGAGCATAGCATTCAAGCAGTGTGAATAGAAAACATAGATATGGAATCATAGAATTTTAGGAGTTGAAATGAA